ATATATATATATATATACATTGATTTTTGTGTGTCACGTGGTATGTTTAATGCAGCCCTGTTCAAATTAGATGTTTGTGATGTCAAAATTCAAATTATAGTTTTGTATGAATTAGGAACTCAAATTACTGATATTGGGAAGCTAGAATATAAAAATAAAAACCTCCTATCTTTTCTATTTTATGAGAGATCACTCATGTCCTGTTCACCTCTTTCCATTTTTGGAAACGGTCCCATATATATATATATACACACATAGTTCTGTATGACAAGTGAATAAACAATCAAAATCTCAAAATGTCCCCATAGTGGCTTTCTCAGCCATTTTAAAGTTTTAGGATGCCATCTCTTTCTTTCGAACCAAGATTTCAAGAAGATAAGTTGTGTCTTTAGTCTGCTCAAAATTTCGTATTTTATTATATTGAAATACAACTTAGTTACTAAGCTTGATAAATTATAATGGAATTCTGTGGTATCAGTATAGTAGTTTATGATTTTTTCGGTTATTCAAATGTATATATAAAATCTAAAAAAATTATTTCATTTCATATCCTCCACGTGTAAAATTTTAAAAGGGCTTAGCAAGCTACAACAAGCAGCAACCAAGTACAAAGGTCAGAACTAGAAGAGATAATTGTTTGGTTTACTTCTTTATTTACTGTTCTATGTTTTATGAAAAATAAGTTTAAGAAGTTATTTCAAAATAGCAATAATCTATATACATATATAATGTATAATAATTGAAATGTCACTGTATTTTACAAAATACTAGTCCACTAAAACACAACCAAGACAGGTCACTTTGTAGAGACTAAAGGTCAGTTTTATATTATTGGATACGGTAACATGAGTGCACATGCACTGTGTCATTGTAACTTCTATATTGTTAGCCAGGCATGGCTGAAAGGTCAATATAATAAAAATAATAAATATATATAAATGTATAATGTTATGACATCAAAAATTCTCTAAACTGACATCAGAATACTCTTTACTTAAATAAATATAGAAATAGTGCTTTTGATCCTAAAAAGACCAATTTGACAGATCCAGATAATTTAAAATGAGTAAATCTTGGTATTTTCCATAAAATGGAATCTTAATAATAATAAGATGAGATAAAAATGCCTTTTATTATATACTTGTGTAGTTTTTTTTCGTTCTTTTTACATTCAGACTTACTGTGGGCTACACCTCTAAAGTATGGGGTCCCCATTAATAAGTGAGGCCTCAGGACAGGCTTTTAAACTTCATATGTTATAATAATGTTGATGGCTTTATAGCATTACAAAGAGGCCTGTCAGTTCATCGAGACTGTCCAATCCACTAAACTTAATAAATAATAATAGTACTAGTAAAATAAAAAATATACTCTCAAAGCCAGCCCTTATCAAAATATTAATCAAACTTTCTCTTAAATTCATTGCATTCACCAGATCTGAAGGCAACCCATTCCTTAGGTCAATCAGTCAGTTAGAAAAATAAGTGTTGTAGTGATTGATGACTCGCGTCCCATCAAAATATATATTATTTTTCTACCAATCTCACCATCAAATTCAAAAAATAATTTTTTAAGTTAATAATTTGAAACACCTCAACAAAATCCCTTCTAAACTTTTATTTTCCCAATAGGAAACTATCATAGATTTTAACCTGTACTTTTATGACATTTCCATCCAAAATATAATGATATTAGCCCTCCTTCGAACCCCCTTCCAATAATTCAATATCTTTCTCAAGATAAAGATCCCAAGACTCAACACAATACTCCAAATGTAGCCTAACGAATAACCTATACAATGACATTATAGCCTCGTTAGCCTTGTATTAATAATTTCTGTAGATATAACCTAAAAATCCTACTTGCCATACCACAAGCAACAGTACATTGATTGGATGGTATAAGAGACTGATCAATCACAACACCAAGATCTCTTTCTTCCATAACACTGTCTAGGTTATTATAATCAAAATTATGGGATCATATATATACATTATTTCACAGACATTATAACTAAATCATCAACTCATTAAATAATATAAAACCTTTTGTAACATAGAGGGCAGCACTAAACAAGAATAGCTATGATGTGAGAAGAGGTAAGGTACTGACTGTATCTGAATTATAAACTTTTTTAAATGATTTTGAACAGCATCTTATCAAAGTTTCATAAACTTTTCTAACTATTCATGTATGACTACTAGGCTTATAATTACTGGGGCAATGTTTATCACTTCCCTTGAAAAGAGGAGTAACACAAACTTTCATCTAGTTTAGTAGATGGGATGGTCTAGATAGACTAACAAGTCCCTTGTTGTCCATAAATTGTATGCTATATAAGTGATTTCTTCACAGTTAGGAATATTTTTTATAAGTTCTATAACAGTACATCAACTTGGTAGAATCCAACAAATTTTCCTTTATATTATTCAAATGGGATGAAACTTTGCACTTACGTTCCTATCAAAACCTGTACAACATTATGACACTATATATAATACATATTATACAACAGAATCAGTGATCAATTTGCACCCCAAAATTACTAAGTATTAGCTCACTGTCAGATATATACCTGTGCATATGTGTATACGTACATATCATAGCATTACAACTGAAAGAATTCACTACACTTACCTGTTAGTACTGCTACACTAACAATCCCTATGATAATACCAGCTACAGCAGCACTACTCAAAGCATTCTGTCTGCTGTCCTGAGCTTCAGAAACTGGACTCATGAAAGATGGGGGACTAGCTGCAGCATGACCAATGCCAAACTGTTCTAAAGCTGGTTGGTCATTCACTAATCCAAAGTTTGGATTCTTGTGTAAAAAAGGATACTTTTCTTGATGTGATTTTTCCTTATCCATTGTGTCAGAGCTGTTGTCCAACCTGGCTATCCATGTTACTTGTTCTGCAGCAGGTAAATAGGTTGGTCTGATAATATCTTTCGAAGTTTTTTCAACCGATGGGGAAATATCTCTTGTTGTATTGGAGAAATCATAAGGTACATTTTTCTCAAGTACTCCTTCTGGAATTGTTGAGTGTTCATCTTCAGTTGCTTCTCTTACTTTGCTGCTCTCTTTGAAGATGTCTGTATTATAGTCTGTTGGGAAGTTTCCCACAATGGAAGAGTTATCTATTTCTGAATCTAGGTGTGTTTTTTGGGTTTCAGAAACAGGAACAACAGTGAAGTTGCTCTTACTGGTTTGAACAGTGGTATGGTTGTCACTAGATTTCGAAACCAATGGTTTATCTGTTATCTCTGAAGCAGTGCCTGGAACTGGATTCTTGAAAATGTTGTCACGTTCATTATTCTGGAGATCTAGTGAATGAGTAGGATAAGTAGATAGCCATGCTGAATAAGCTCCTTTTCTTTCTTTAGAAGTTGGAGATATTTTAGTGCCCTCAACTAGATCCCTCTCATTATAGCCACCTCGTTCACTATTTGAGATGAATCCTTTCATTCTACTTGGGTTATTGTCATGGGAAGAACTCTGAATAATGTCTAATGTTAGTTGATGGGCACCATGGTTAGTTGAAGCATCAACTGAAGAAGAAATACTTTTTTCAGTTGTATCAGAATTAAGGTTCAAAGAAGGTACATGGCTAGAACCACTAGAAGTTGGTGGAGACTTAAAATGGCCATTGACAGAAGTAACAGCACCATAGTTATGATGAGGATCACTAGATGATGGTTCATACAGTCCCTGAGAAAAGTCCATAATCTGTGAATGGTGCCGAGATGAAAATCTACCACCACCAAACTTTTTAAATGATGAAGTTTCAGTCCCATCAGGTTTCCTTACTTGAAATGATGAACTAGTTGTTGGAACTGTTCTTCTGTTGAGTGGCCATGTTGAAGAAACATGCCCAGGAATGATAGCATCCGAGAGTCCAAATGCCAAAAATTCATCGTCTGAGACATGAAACCTTTCAGATGGCAGCCACTGCTGATGCAAACCTCCAGATGAGGCTTCTGTAGTTAATGAAAGATCATCAAAATAATTACCACTTGTCCATCTTGCTAACCTACCAGTCACAGAAGAGATGGGAACAGTATGTGCTGAGCCAACTTTTTGAAAAGGAAAACATGCACACTCATGGACAATGCCAAAGAGGATTGCCAAAACTAAAAAAACAAAAAAAAACCATTAATGTACAATTTTTAAACAAAGTATGCTAATACAACTCTACAACAAGAAAACACAATAAACCATCTTTAACCCCTTTCCAGAATAATGGGGATATTAATAATATGCCGTAGATTTTGTCTTTTCTATAGTGAAAATACTGAACCAAATTGTATGAAACCTTGTAGTTATTTTAAGAGGTCTGCTTAGTTTTGGTGACTGTTCAGAACAAATGCTGGGACATCATACAATGGTGAAAACAGAGGGCTTAAGAGTTAATCAGGTCTAGAAATTTGTATGTAATAAATTTGGGCAATATTTATTCATCCTGTATTGAAATATGTTTACACTGTATGGAAAGACTTTCTATGTACCAGTGACCTTTGACTTCAACAGTTAATTAGGTCAAGAGCTTAGTAAGTAATACCTGTCATAAGTAAATATTGATGGTCAGTATTTATTAATTCTATCTTGAAATGTTGTGTCCACAAGACTGGGACAAACAGATGAAACAAAAGGGGCAAACCAATATGCCCCGCTTTATGATGCTTCAGAGTGGGAGTATAATAAAACAAACATAAAAGGAAAATCACCAAAGAAACAATACATGGTTAACTATATTTTGAAAGGAGAATTTCCTAACAAATATACATCTATGCTTTAAGCTGGGCAGAAAAATTCTAAAAGAAAAAATAACTGCTTCATTTTTATTTTGAAACTGAAATGTTACAAAATTATAAACTATCAATTATGAAATATTTTTGAATTAAAAATTGTAAAGGAGAGTTAAAATAATTATTTTTAATTTGATATACAGGTGTGTACTTATATATATATATATATGCTCTACTAATTGTTCTGTGTAATTAATAGATATGAAATATTAGATTAATTTTTTACTTATTACCAGTGGTAAGTGTCTTTCAGGTGTGATATATATATATTATAACAGATCCGTGACCACTGTGCAGCTGATCTTCACATAAAATGTCCTGACAATATTAGACAATTTATGAAAGAAATATAAAGTGGGTCAAAACTGCAAAATAATATAAATAACTTGTGTTTGTAAGAAAAGCAATGATTTAGATATATCAGTTATTATCATTGCTAGGTTGCAGTGGTTGTGTTAATATTTATTATGTCAAATATTATGAAGTTTGGCACCAAAAACAGCAGAAAGTACAGTTTTTTTAAAACTAAGCTAATGCATGGAGAAAACTTACTACATATTGGTTGTTTTCAGATATTATTAATATTTAAGTATATTCATGTGTAAGGTATTTATTAGCCACAGCATAGCAGCTCATAGAATGGCTCAGAGTTTTTTAAAGTACAAACTTTTAGCTCATAGATCCACCTCTTGATTGATTTGGGATCTAATAAATTAGTTTTGAACTCGGTTTTGAACATATTCGATTGATGTATTTGACCACACCCATGGTCTCATATATTAATTTACTCTAAACCTGCCTTATAGAATTTCAATTTGAGGGTAAACTGGTAGAGATCCTGATGAGTAATAAATTCCAATCAGGTATACACACTCCCCACGCTTGGTATTGCTGGCTCACAAAAATATAGCTAATGAAAAGTGGAAAAAAACTCGGATTAATTTACTCTAATCCTTCCTAAAAGAATTTCAAGTGCCACAGTTATTGAGGATTCCCTCTTGTTCTTACATAGAGAGGAAGGCACATATTTCAATAGTTCTCATATAACATTTAACTGCCAGAATGTAACTTGTGCAGAAAATATTTAAAAAAAATGTTGTTCTAAAATGTTAATTGTTTTTTGTTGTCGTTGTTAAGCACAAATTTACACAATGGGTTATTATTTTTTGCCCACCAGAGGTAGCAAAATCAGATTGTTAGCATTATAAATCCTTAGATGTACAGCTAAATGACTGAGGAGGGCTGTTGTTAGTTAAATAATGACTCACCTTTAAGAAAATTCAATGCAAACTTAAATCACATATGTTTAAATTACTCTTAATTGAATGTAAATGTGAGAAAAATATGTGTATTTCAACCGACTGATCAATTTACAGCTTTTTAAATTAAAACTGTTTATTTTTATCCCGATAAGCATTCTGAATATTCCATAATAAAGGTTTTTTCTTTCATTTTTATTTAACACATTATTAACAGTTGTAAAGCTATGGCATAAATCAAAAGCTGTACAGTAAACCAAATAATCTGATACATCCTCTCACCACAAAGAAACAGGCCAGGTTTTTTTTGCCCAAAAGAATGTGTCTGCATTCTGTACCAGAACTTCTAGATAGAATTTCAAATATGCTGTAGTTCATGGGTTATTTCCATATTGTATTTTGGAAATATTTCTTCTGCTATGTTTGAAGTCCAGAATGACTCTTCATTTCTGCTCCACAAGTAGTTTTCACCAAATCAGTCATTCTTTATGCTAATTGGAGAAATAAAAGTGATTTTAGCATTTACACAATTCTGAACGGTTGCTAAACAAATGAAGCAATATCTATTTGTAACTTAGAATATATACACAAATACAATGGAGTATGAAATTATAATATTACAACTGAATTTGGTGAAGTGAATTTCCCAAAACAAAAAGTTACTTTAAACTAATTTATATGTAACAAAATCAAATATATCTAAGAATGTAGTATAAAAAGATATCTAAAAAAATCTCACAGCTAGAACACTATTTTATAAATATGTTTTTTGTTCAGTTAAAACTCAATTCCCAAAAGACTAAATCAGGTAGATCCACTATGTAATTTAAGATTTTTGTAAAATTAATATAATTTAGTTTAAATGATGGAACAGCCAAGATGGACCAGTAGGTCCCATGTTGTCCAAAAACGTTATGTTGGGTGTTCTAAAGTCAGAAACATAGTTAATCAAACAGATAACATCTTATTTAGATTTTAACCTTCTAACAATCAATACAAGATTTACTGCTCTTAGTATATTAACTCTCCAGCTATCAATACAAGATTTACTGCTCTTAGTATATTAACCCTCCAACTATCAATACAAGATTTACTGCTCTTAGTATATTAACCCTCCAACTATCAATACAAGATTTACTGCTCTTAGTATATTAACCTTCCAACAATCAATACAAGATTTACTGCTCTTAGTATATTAACTCTCCAGCTATCAATATAAGATTTACTGTTCTTAGTATTTAACCCTATATACTTATACACTCCAACTTGTATCTGATGATAGTTGGGTT